GTCCTGCCCATCAATAAAAAAATTGGTATAGACTAGAGTCATTTTTGTTGGTCATCTTAGTGGTGTCATTAACAGCTCACTCACCAGCTGAGTCGACATGCTGGTCAAAGATGTGGTGCATGCCGGCAAAGGCGTAGTTCTCACTTAGGGTGGTGTCACCTGCCATTGCCCGACTGGCTTCTGCCACCGACGTGGGCACCAGGCTACCTGGAGGCCTGGCACATGAAATAGAACCAGAGAATTATTCATACTGGTACACAGTGCAAAACAAAGTAATAACACCCTGCGTCATATTTGCTTAATGAAATCCAATACTTGTTTCTTATTAATTTTGGGATGCCGATTCTAATAATAGTACCTGTTTTGCTTAAGCATGTCACACTTTGTCACAAATTAATATGCATTTCATAGCATTTTGCATTCTGCAAAAATTTGTCAGATGATAAAATTAGTGGACTTAACCTTTCATCATACACTGCCCTGTTCATCTGGGCTTGCAGCTGGTATGAACCACGGCTTACTGATCTCCGGTGGCCTCTGGCACCCTGAGCCCTGGGATCCTCCTCGAAGTCCTGATTGAAAGACAGAGAAGAGAATAAAAAAAGACCAAGAAAATATGAAAGCAGGCAGTAATGAAGAATGATTTTAGAGTTTAGCACTACAGCAACATAAAGCCCATCATGCACAAAAGAGTTTGCAATCTACATGCACAGCAGCTCTCACACAACACAAAGACCTGGATCTGAATTGCTATTTATATCAAGGACTATATAGATGTTCTATCTTGCCCTCTGTCTGTGTTTTTTCTAGGGCTTATTTCAACCCAGAACTCCTTATCTGCATTTCTCGAACCCTTTTCCCTGTTTCTGAATGCACCTAACCTCCATGCGATCCAGTGTGGTGCGGGAACTGCGCACACTGCTGGCTCTGAAGCTGCTCTGCTCTGACAGAGGCCCGTAACGCAGGGCAAGCAACTGACTGCGCAGACGCAGATACTGCCTGCGCAGCCCCGGC